TGAGACCCTGGGTGAAGAGACTGTGGCATTGCTGTGGACAAAAGGTGTCATGGTGTGATCTAGGCTTCTTGCATTTGTGCTGGTAACAAAGACTTGACTGTTCTTGCCAGATGTTTGAAGGCAAAGTTGACTTTTAACTGTCCTGAGGCGAACCTTGCTCGATGATTTGGATTTGACTGCTGAACTGAAACCAGAGCCTGGACTTATTGAGGAATTGTGCCTTGGAACTGATGGGCGAAAGCCTGGCCTTCTACTGTGGGACTCACTTCCCTAATAAACCCCATTGTTGGTACCATAAGTGTGAGTGAGCAATGAATAGAAGAACCTCTTTGCTAAGGCTGGGGTTCTAGAGGCACCATGGGCCGGATTACAGGCTCTTTAACTGCTTTCTACTCTGAGGCAATGAGGAGCCCCTCTGGCCCTTTCAGAGAGATGCTTTTGGTCCTGTGCCCCCATGACCTGTTTTATCCTCTTTAGACAAGGCCCCAAGAATTGCTGGAATATCATTTGAGGTATTTCAAGAAACAGATGCATGAAGACCTGGGCATGCTAACTAAAGTATGCCAAGAAATATGGACGATAACTACCTGACCAACTGTCTGGAAGAGACATATCTGTTCTCATTTCAAAAAATGGCGATCCATCATAATGTGGTAATTATCAACTAATTAATCTCACATGCAATAAAATCTTGGCTTAAGATTGCTAAAAAACATTTGGAACAGTACATCAGTGAGGAACTCAGAGGTAGTCTATGTTCCAGCTGGGTTCATCAGAGGCCATGGCCCAAGGATATCATTGCTGATGTCACGTGGATCTTATTTGAAAGCAGAGAACACCAGAAAGAATAGTTGAGTGTGTTGAGGTTTTTTTGTTTGTTTCTGTTTTTGGTTTTGGTTTTGTTTTTGTTTTTGTTTTTTTTTCACTAATGTAGAGGCATTTTGCTGTGTAGGTCATAGCAAATTATGGCTAATCTTGAGGAGAATGCAGATCCCAAAACACTTACTTGTGCTCCTGGGAAACCTGTACGTAGGCCAAGAAGCTGTTGTCTAAACAGAAAAAGTGAAAACTGTACGGTTTAAAATCAAGAAAGGTTTGTGTCAAGACGATATCCTTTCTCCATATCGATTCAATCTGTGTTCTGATCAAATAATTTGAGAAGTTGGGCTCTATGAAAAATGTGGCATCAGGACTGGAGGAAGACTTAGCAACAGGTGTTACGCAGATGACACAACTTCGCTTGCTCAAAGTGACAAGAACTTGAAACGCTTACTGGACAAGGTCAAAGACTACACTCTTCAATATGGATTATATCTCACAACATCGAGAAACCAAAAATCGGTGGAAAATAATGTATACAAACTTTATAAATAAACCAGGTGTTATGTGCCGTCGAGTCGCTTGTGACTCATAGCGACCCTATGTACAACAGCCTCAAACTCTTCTCTGTCCTGTGCCAATCTCACTGTCTCCAACACACTCATCCCAGTTACCCCAGTCACCGAATCAATACATCTCCCAGAGGGCCTTCCCCTCCTGCGCCTGCCCTCCACCCTCCCAAGCATGATGTCCTTCTCTGAGGACTGGTCTCTCCTTACAACATGACCAAAGTATGTCAGACGAAGCCTCAGAATCCTTGCCTCCAAGGAGCAGCTCGGTTTAACCCTCTCCAGGATGAATCTGTTTGTTTTCCTAGCAGTCCATGGTACCCTCAATACACTTCTCCAACACCAAAGCTCAAAGGCATCAATTTTCCTTCTATCCTTCTTGGTCATTGTCCAACTGTCTGATGCATAATAAGTGATTGCAAAGACCATGGCCTGTATCAGATGCACCTTAGTCTCCAGAGAGACACCATTGCTCTTCAGTACTTTAGAGAGGTCCCTAACAGCAGCCTTTCTCATCACAATACGTGTTAATTTCCTGGCTGCTGATGCCAAGAGTGTTGATTGTGGAGCCAAGCAGAGTAAAGCTGTGAACAATCAAAAATCTTCACTTGTTGACATCATGATAGATGAAGTTGTCAGCTATTTCATTTTACTTGGATCCACATCAACACCCATGGCAACAGCAGTCAAGAAATCAAAAGACATGTTGCATTAGGAAAAATCTGTTGTCAAAGGCCATTCCAAAGAACTGGGGAGCAAGGGTGTCAGTTTAAAGACTGAGGTGTGCCTGATCCAAGCCATGATCTTTCAGTTACTTGCTACTCATCTGAAAGTTGGACCATGACTGAGGATGACAGAATTGATACCTTTGTATTGTTATGTGGGAGAAAAGTATTGACTAATCCATGGACTGTCAAAAGAATAAACAGTCCTGAGCTGGAGGAAGTGTGGTCAGGGCGCTCCTATCGGCAGTTATGGTAAAACATCTCACATACTTTGGGTATGTTGCCAGGAAGGGCCAAGTCCTTGGGCCAAGTCATCATCCTGGGAAAAGTCGAGTGTCAGTGGAAGAGAGGAAGACCACCAATGAGATGGATTGATAGTGGCTGTAAAAATGGGCTAGCAGATCGGAGGTCATGACGATACAGAGGACAAGGTCCAGACACGCTGCTCAGTGTCCACCGGATGCTGCTAACAGCTACCCCTCCCCTCATCTCTGCCTCCACATGAGAGGCAGCAGTTGTTCTCCTTTGCTGAGAGAGCAGATTAAAGAATGGTTATTACCAACCTGGGACTGGAACCCGACTTTGATGTTGGTCTCCACATTTCTCAGGTCAAACTATGTGACCACTGTTGCAGATGGCCTCCATTAGGCAACAGTGAGAAGGGTGGCTGGTTCTGTTTTTTTCCATCATTATAATGCTTGGTGTAGGCTTAGACTTAGTGCATTACAAGAGTTCAAATATTTGCTAAATTGAGTCTCACTGCAGGCTAGCTCTGAAAATGCATGCCTTATTCCCAGACATGCTTCAAGGTGTTTAAGACACTGACAACTTGCACAGTGTAAATTAGGGCCGAAGGGAAGAAAATCTGTTCTGACATCGACGTAGCACTCACAGAGCTGACACAGGCCTAGAACAGAGCTGACACAGGCCTAGAATTAACTTCTGAGCCTTTCATTCTATAAATAAAGGCGCTGCCATCAACCTTGTTTCACTCTTAAAAGAGCAGAGTTACTTATTTCCTGCTTCGCCATATAATGGAGATCCAGCTTTCCTATTTCCTGCTTATCCCAATTATAGAAGTTCCCAGGAGATGCGGTCCCAGGAGAAGACGGAGGCAAATACGGGGTCTTTTTGTAAAATGATCAAGTTGCAGGGTTTAAAAAAAATAAAATAGGACCACAAACGGATTCACAGGGAAGAGCTTCCCAAGCATAACAGTTCTCTCTCCTGCCCCTAACATTCTCTAAGTCTACATGGGAAAATGCCAAGCTTCACCCAGTACCACCTTCTGCGAACACCCTCCACCACCACAGCCCTCCCACCATGTTCTCCTCATCAAGAATTGATCTGGTAACAGTTTGCCTTGGGGGACCTCAGTCTTGGCAGAGTGAGTCAGCAAAAATCGAAGACGACCTGCAAGGTGGATTATTGACCATGGCTACGATAACATGCCCTAAAATAGCGCCAATTGTAAGGAAGGCACAGAAGGGCAGTTTCATTCTGTTGCAGGAATCTGCTCACCTGGACCTAAGAGCGGCAGCAGTCTGCGTTATTACCTATTGAATTAAGAGACTGTATGTCCAGACATTACTCCTTGATGCTGTTCAGGAGGGCTCTATAGGTGGGGGGCGGGGGGATGAGACGAAGGAAGGGATGAAAGCCACATACTGCACTCGATGTTGCTGTTGATTGGATACCTTTCTCTGACCTCAGATGCAGCCTCAAGATATCAGCGTAATACTTCAGGCAGCCAGCATTCCCAAAGGCAAATGTTTTTTAACAATTTGGTTTATTTTATTGTTGGTGTTTTTTTTTTACTTGACAGCAATGAGTTTATTAGAACAAAAGCTATGGGGGGGGAGGGGGAGTGCCATTTCACACAAAGGTATGTCTTCTGTATGGATAAACGGGACCTCTGTAACTGTCCAGTGCAGGTTGTGTGAGTCACACATGCCATAACAAGGGCTGAGGCAGAGTTGCAGGAGCTCTAGAGCTTGGATCCTGGAACAGCCCCTTCCCCAGCTTTCCAGTTGGAAGTTTTCTAGGGTGGATTTCAATGAAGAAGGATCACAGGCGGGGATGGGAAGTTGCTCAGTTTGTCTGAGCCAATCCTCACCTTCTTCCAGTTGGACACGTCGTGATGCTTCCTGGGATCAGAGGACAGCTGAGTTCAGGCCTGAAACATGCTGAAGGTCTATCCATGAAGTCTAGGGATTCTGCTTTTGGGTGTCCCTGCCTTCAGAGACAAGGACTGTGGGCAGAGGGTAGTAGGGAGGAACAGTCTGAGGAGGACTTACCACAGGCTAAGCTCTGAAAAATGTTTTTTCTGTTGACTACCTAAAGCCACCTTCCCCATAGCCTGAAGGGTGTGAAATTCCGCAGACCTTCCCTGGAAGGTGGTGCGCAGAGGGCGTTCCCCCAGGAAGAGGGAGCCGAAGGAACTTGAAGGGGCTGTGTAGTCGGCCCCATGTGTACACCTGCATGCTGCCGGGCACCTTTTCACAGCCAGGGAAGGAAGCGCAAGTTCCCCAGTCTGCTTGGAAACCACCTCAGTGCAGATACTCCTGTAAAGATCCTCCTTTATGGACCTCAAACTATCCCAAACCTGTCAACCACTGGCCATTATGCCCTCATTCCTTCTAGGCCTGCTGCACTGTCGCCCCAACCAGGAGAGCTTCCCAAAGCACCAAGCCAGCAAATTCTAACGTAGACTTGATCGTCACCGTTCGGGGGAGAGACGGCTCTTCTTTAAACCTATCTCTTCCAAGGCTGCTCTGTTTACATTAGGCAACTGAGGGGACCTTTGTAGGCTGGTCTTGCAGTCTTGAGTTTGCCAAATGGACTAAATATTAAAATTACTCACCCTTTGTTTGCTTTTTTCCCCCAGCTCCTCTGAAGATTATGAAACAGATGAACCCATCCCTCCCTCTGAATTTGGAAACAAAGGCAATAAAATAGTCACCCCAAACCTTTCAGAGAAATGTGGAAAGCTCCAGTCGGTGGATGAAGAGTAGCCAACTATTGGCTCCGCGAAAGGAAGACGTGTATTTAAATGTTTTTCTTGTGAAGTGCTCTAGTTTGTGTACTGCTTTTTAAAGGCTTTGTTTTCTCCAAGTTTGGATCCACACTAGGAACCTGCAAGTGTTTTTAAGCAATAGGTCTGGATACACGCTCAGCATGGGTGATGCTTCCAATTTGCCTCAACTCTCCTGCACAGCTCGTCTTTGGAAGCAAATGTAGAACCATCTACAGCCCCTCCTGGAGCCCGAGACTCCACACTGTACCCTTGAATATACCAGCGATCTAGTGGGGGACGACGCCAGAGTCCACTCTCCACTCACAGGTGCTGCCTCAGCACAGGTCAGCATCTGAGACCCCTCAGGGCTCCTGTGGAGCCAAAAAGAAACCTTCAGGACTGAAACTTGAAAGAACTTAGCCTCCAGAACTAACTTGTTAGGTGCCACCACGGCTCCATCTCGGATGCAGCTCTAGTACACTGTGGAGACATCTCCGAGACCTTCGGTTCTGGGCGCACTGCAGCTCACAGGGCGTCCACTGACCGTGTCACTCCACAGTAGCCTGCCAAGTTACAAGTCACTTTAGATCCTCAGGTATAAACCACTGGGCCCTCTTAACCTTGCTGGCAAGCTCTGAGTTAACTCCTGCCCAATCCTGACTGTGGAGCTTACAGAAAAACTTGTTCGATCAAGCCAAGTACAGAATTGGGCGCCTTCTTGGGAAACAAGGCAGAGTCCTTTTAACTTGGCAGTGACTGCAGCAGTGGGCTGAATGAAGCAGATCGGGGATGGTGAGGAGGGCTCAGGGCCAGAGCAGGGTTCAGATGTTGTTCACAGGGTCGCTGTGAGTCATCGACTCAGAGGCACCTAACATTGGAGAACTATTGACTAAATGATTAACCTTCCAATCAGAGTTACTTGAAGACTTAAAAAGCATGAAAATTTTTGCTACACTAGACATGTTCTTTACTATGTATTAGAGACTAGGCTCACAGTAAAAGCCTTAATATAGAAACACTGTTCCTGACTTCATGTTGAAGAGAGAACTCTCCACCCTCAATACTGCCCAATGAAATCTTGCGATGCTACCCATAAAGGAAAGCTATTGAATATTTACTACACTAATTAAGTGTACTCATTTCCCTATCATTCATGAATAAAGCAAAAGGCCACAGAAAGACCAAAATGGATGTTAGGATTGATGCTGAAACTTGCATTTCTATGTGCAGAAGCCAAAATGAAGGAAACAGAGTGAAGAGCTGGACAGAACACTGGCTGCTTTGGGGAGGAGAAATGGGTAGTAGGGTAGCTTTGTGTCTAGTCACAAAAATGCACTATTCATAAGATGAATTGAAGGCTGTTGGGAACCCTGGTGGTGTCATCTGAGCATGTTGTGCTAACCCAACGGCCGAGAGCCTGGGCAGTGTTCATTCTCCAGTGGCTCCACAGGCCCAAGATGTGTTCTACATTTAAGGAAAATTTTGCAGTCGAATCTCTGGATCCTTGAAAATAAAACTGAAAAGATAGGAATCTTTTCTAATGTGAAAGAAACCTCAATCTTTTAACATTCTTGTCAAAAGCAACATTTCTCCTAGTTTTTACTGTTGAGTGCTACAGATGTCAGAATAGTTTTCCATCAACTCATTGGCTCCTTTGCTGGTTTGAAGCCAGGCATCATTAAAAAAAAAAGCCACAATCAGTACAGAAAGAGGACAGCAATCCTTCCTGACAGTGTTCTGTATGTTCATAATGGTAACAGATGTTTAATTAAAACTTGTTACACAAAATCTTAACTATTAAAAGTATTTAATAGTTTATGTAGAACTTAAAAGGCTAAATTGACTAAGCTATAGTAAATACTACATGGCATAACCTTAAAGACATTAAGTGTAGGATTAAGAGGAGTCAAATAGTGACGTGAATTTATCATGTCCTTTATCAAGAAAGGAAAACAACTGGTTTTTATTTCATGTAAATTTACAAAATTTTATAAAGGTTTTATTATTCCTAATTGGCTAAATGGTTTCTAAGCCTTAGAAGAAGAAAGAAAGAAAAAAAAAAAAGACTAAAAATTAAATTTTCCAATATACATTTTTTAAAAAAAAACTACCTGGTTGACCTTGCCCGTTCCAATTTAAGAGAAGGCTGGTGACTCAAAGCACCACATTTTCAGACATGTTTCATGCACTGTCTTCTTACGCCGAATGCAAGGACTGTGAAATGGGGAATTCAATAGTATGTTACTATAAAGATCATAAAGAATAGAATTAATCCTGCCATCCTGGAAATAAAGTTCTCTCAGGCCCCTTGATTAAAAGATGCCTTGAAGGTTATCATGATCTTAATGTTCAATGCAATCGCTTCTGCAGCATAACATTAACTGTCAAGATAATCAGATTCTGTTATTTCCCCAGCATCTTCATCTCTTATCACCACATTGTTTAAAATGACCACCTAAGACGTTAATCAACTTTGGGAAATGTTCAGGTGTATTTGGATGGAGAAAACTGCATGACTTTTTTCCCCTTTTTGCAAAACTCAATAAAAACAGACTACCAAATCTTATTAACTAAGACATCATGACACACTTGTGGTTTTAATCACACTTCTGGGGGTGAAAAATCCAAAGGTTAAACCTACAAACCATCTTAAGTTTCAGGAAGTAATTCTGACCCTTAGAAAAACTTTTAATAAAGGTCTGGATGTTAAGAACTACCCCCTAAAAAAAAAAAAAACTACCCCCTACGAGACCCCAAATGTGTTAGCAATGATTGTGGTTATTATCTCATTTGAGTCATGTTGGTGTGGGGGGCATATGGAGTCTAGCTCTTGTCATAACCGTGCTTCAGGTGGGCCTTTAGTGGATGGACAGTGGCGGAAAGGCAGTGTTTCGTATGCACTAAGAATACAAAGAACTACTTCGAATTATGTTCAAGTATTTGTGGGCAATAAGACACTTGAGTTGATCAACTTAGGATATCTGGCTCAGGTTTTTAAGCAAAAAAAATTTTAAAGGAGTCATCCTGTTTCTTCTCTTGGTGCTTCTGGTAAAGTCCAAGCCAAAAGAGAGAAACCTGAACTGGAAAATTCTATTGTAAACACAAAAGACACACATCCTAGGATTCTTACCAAGGGTGAGGACACCCACGTTCTTGTTTGAGATTAAGTCTATAACTACTAGATCTCACATTCCCCAGCAGAAAACTCAAGGCCCAAGCTTGAAGGAATGCTGCCTCCTGCAATTCCAGGCAAGGAAAAGTCCAAAGAAAAGGAACACTCTCCTGGAGCCAGCCTGCCGAGCAGCCGAGTCACTGCGAGAAACCCAAGAAACAGGACCTTCTTGGTTTCAAAAGGTGGGGCCACAACCTCTCAGGTTCCAACTTGGGAGTCTTATCAATTCTATCAAGTTGGGGCGTCCACCTAAAGGATATGGGGTGGGGCTGCCATGCCCAACAGACAGAATGGGACTTGCCAGGGCCCAGGTGATGGGGTTGCCAAAGCTGAGGGAGCAGCTGCCATCCCAGGTCTGAAAGGTGGCGCCAAGTCATAGGCCTTAACCTAGAACGCAGGGGGCATGGACAACTCCCACAGTATGGAGGCCACTGCTTAGTCTGAAGTGCAGGACTGTTCCAAGCCTTAAGAACTAGTGTCAAATGTCCTGCTGGCCTTGGGACTTGTTATCCCTTCTTCACCTCCCAGTTTTCTCCTATCTGTAATGCAAAGGTCTGTTTAGGTGCCCTGATGGTATAGTGAGTTCCAAACAACACATCAAAGTGAAGAGCAAGAAGGTTGACTCCACCAGCTTCCTGCCAGCTGCAAGACGAGGCCGTCTATTCCTGTGCAGATGTACACACTCAATGGAAAGAAACCCAATGGAAAGTCACCAGGAGGCAGAATGGAGTTGGAACTTCGCTGGTACGGGATGTGCTTTTGGTGATTTATCTTCTGTCGCTTCACCAGCGTACTCCAGAAGTGGACAAATTTCACATGTTCACAAGTAAAGAGGAATTCTGCTCCAGAATGGAGTTCTAAAGTCTTTACTCATCTTTGAGAGTCTGATAAGGAAGGAAGGCAGTTCAACTCCACTAGCTGCTCCAAGGAGAAAGATGGGCAGTCTCCTACCATGCAGTGTTCAGCCCCTGAAAACCACTGGAGGGTCAGCTGTGAGTCAATTCCAACTCAGCAGCACACTGTAACACCACTCCCAGTAACAGGAAGAACAACAATTTAGGTGCGAGAGTGAACATTCAGAGGGGGCTTCGGCCTCCTGTGTAGTCTAGAATGTGTAACTGTGTTACGTGGCTAACTAAACCAGTGGGGAAGTTTATAAAATGCAGTATTCAATTATAGATAATATACATATGGAACTTGTTTTTTCTTCAATAATTTGTTATAGGGCAATTTTGTTTTTATCTAATGACCATCAAGGGAGCTCTGGTAACTCAGTGGTAAGGAACTACACTGCAATCCCAAAGGCACATGGTTCGAGTCCACCAGCTATTCTGCAGGAGGAGGATGGGCACTCAATCTCTGCCTTTCCAACTGAAGTGCCTCTGAAAACCAGCTGTAAGGTCGGCTATGAACTCGACGGGCCACAAGCAACCACCACAAAAATCTTATTCTGCAAGATCATCATGGAATTGTGTCTGAGAGCCAAGACAAATTCTTTACCCTGGGAACATTCTATACCTTTTTTGTTTGGAAATGCAGACTTAATGAAGCTACCAAGAAACATGATCAAGTCTGAAGCTTCTCCTACTTAAGGAAAAAAGTAATTTTACCATTTGTTGATTACAGCACTGACCAAATACAGCACTGAAGATGTATCATATTAAATGCTGCTAATGTCTGGTAGTCTGTAAATCCCATTACTAGAGTATTATCTCTCAGACACACCTAGTCGACCACTGTCAGCATTCCCAAGTAACTCACAGGATAAAGAATAAAGACACTGAAAATATTATTCTTCCGCAAATACAAAGAACACTCAGAGCATG